CTTGTTTGGTTCCTTGTGGTGTACAATTAATTAAGCATGCAATACAGGGAATGCGGATGGAAAAATGGATCGACCAACAATATCTGCCACACTTGTGGAACAGCCGTGATTCACCTGTAAGTCAAAGGACTGGTGTAGGGCTAGGACCTGAACCCCAGGCCCAGGTCCGAGTTGGTTTACAGCTGCATACGGCTCTGCCTTTGTGGAAGCACACAGGACTTCTGCTAACTCGCACACAGGCCTGCCATGCTGCTATGCCACCCTGCACGATAGGGCACACCTTACCCCACGTCCCCTGGAACCCAGATCATCAGTCTGCCGGGATCCTTGCAAATGGATTACTGGGTCTACTTTAACCATTCTGGTAAAAAACAGTCTCAGGTCTGGAACGTTAATTCATCACTGCCTGCCTATCAAAACATCACTGCCTGGTGTAATCACACAAGTAAAAACCATCGGTATCAACTAATGCCCCATAGCCCTATTGCCTGGGGTATTTATCTGCGGTGGAAGAGCATGGGGTTCTGTTCCTTCCCACTTGCGTGGAGAACCTTGATGCTCCTGATGCCAAACATATCCATGATATCAAATCATACAAGGGTACATCACTACCACAGGGCATGCATTTAATGACCAGTGTGGTGAAGTGACTTTCTGGAACCCTGGTGACATAATCGCTGCATCTGTGTTCGTGCCAGGGGTTACCACTGTGGCTGCTCGTAATCACCTCGCTGAGCTTGGATGCTGGCTTGCTGAACAAAATAACGCAGCATTGCTGGCTCTCTCCAGACTATTAATGGACGTGGACTCAGTCCCACGTGCCACTCTGCGAGACAGGGCGGCTACCGACTTTCTGCTTTTAGCTCAAGGACGTGGGTATGAGGATTTTGACGGCCTGTGCTGCATGAACCTACCTGATCACTCAAAGTGGATCCACAAAAGCATCCAAGAACTGCAACGGCTAACCAAAAGGCTCCAAATTACAGACGGGTGGAACCCTTTGAAGGACTCTTCCCTGATTCAGGCCCTTGGCTGGGATCTGGGATCCAATCAAAGACTGTTGGTTGTTGATGCAATGCTATTCTTAAACTTTTTCGGGATTCTGCTTTGTGTTCCATGCTTGTTAAAGTTGATGCAATCCGCTGTTAAATGTGCTCTGAAGCAAGTATTGCCAGTGGGGGAGAAGATGCTGAAGCAGCCAGTCTATTAACCCTGACCCTGTGTAGGCCCTGGTCCAGCAAGCAAGGCCTGACAACCAAGAAATCGTGGGTATAAGTGAGAGGCCAAAGAATCGCTAAATCATTGGAACGCGTCAACGCAAGTTGAAAACTTTCCAATTATTGTACTAACTGTATTGTGTTTATTGCTAGTGTGTCTGCTTTGCTTCTTAGTATGTGTTCAATAATGGATTGATTGATCATTTAACCACATTATGGTTGCTCATTTAGAATAGCTATAGCAATACAGTAATTAAATAAAGAAGGCCTGTTTCAAGGACGGTAGCACAGGACACCTCATCAGCAGCAGTACAGAACGTCTTGTTAGCAGATAGCCAACCCCAATGATGGCAGTGCAGGTGTGCTATCAGCAAAACAAGGGGCAAAACAACTGCCCCATCTGCTATCCCGTCTGCTACGTGACCAAGAAGCTGCCTGGGTAGTTTTAATATGATTTAGATTTTTGGTTTATTTAGTAACTGTGTTTCTAAACCCTTGTTTGTCAGAATTTACCCCTGAAAGAAAAGCAAGAGCCTAAAGCCATAGGAACATCTTTAAACACAGCCAGGCCACTTAACAGAGACCAAGCAGAAGGACTGGAACGCATCACAGAAACCCTGTCTGGCTCTGCACACCCACACGAGTCTGTGCTTGACCTGCCCTCAGCACTGGGTCCCAGGTCGAGTACTTCTGCACAGGAACTACTACACATCATTGAATATGAATTCTTCAGTCTAATTACAAGCAGAATCAATGAGCCAAGAGCGCAGGGCTCTGCCATGAGCAGAGGGTGGGAAAGCGAGAGGAAGTAAACTTTACTGCATGGACAATGGCCTCTTTAAGAAACTTCCCCAGTGCTTGTATCCGAGCTCACGTGGCCAGGGTTTTCAGAGCAAAAATACCTCATTATGGTTCAGTAGGGTGCAGAGCAATTTCACTGTTGCTTATCATTACAAACTACAAATGTTACCATACAGTTTAATGAGCTTGGACATGCTTGAAGAACTTTCAACACAGAGACTGTTTTGCTCAAATACCAGTAAAAGACACATTTTTCATCTATGTAAGAACTTATAAATAGAACAACGGTTAGTTTAGATTGCCTTCTAAAGAACAGTTTATACAATATTTTTCCTTTCCCAGCTGAAGAGTCGAGACAAGGGAGCTTTATTCCTCCCTAGCCCTCCAGCCAAATGTGCAGTTCCTACAGGCTCCTCTTCCACATGGCTACCTGACATGCTCGCTGGGCAGAGCCACCAGGCTTGGGCACCAGGGCCTGGATCTCAGTGTGCCACTTTGGTCACTTGTCTTATCTAAAGGTGAAAGCAGAGCTTGACAAGGTGCCTTGCCCCACACAGAGATGCACGTGGGATCCTACTGCTCAAAACAAGACTGCCAAAAAATGAGCACTAGAAAGCGTTGGCCTTTGCCTGCTGGACACAGGGGCTGCAGGAAGCACAGGATGCAAGAGCATCCCCCTTTTACAACATACCACAATGTTGTTGGGATCCATGGACTCCACGGCGTCCAGGAACTTGAACTGCACTTGCTGGTACTCACGGTGGTGCTCGAACGTGAAGTACTGCACTCCCCTCCTGGTCTCCACCAGCTGCATGGCAATACCTAGAGAGGGCAGACATGGCAGACGTGGGTACCACTGCTGCAGCCTGCGAGTACAACATTTGTGAAAATGCAGAAAACTCGTTCACATCACTGGGCCCAAAGACAGATGTATTGAGAACTCCCCGAGATGTCTGCTCGTGCTCTCCCTCCTACGAATCGGAGACCCGAACCTATTCCAAAAGCCCAGACAAGTTATTCTTTCCACCCAGAACTCATCAAGATTGCTGCGGGAAGGGAAGCACACATCACCTGCAAACTCCAGGAGCGGAGGAAAAGAACAGCTCAAACGCTAAGTTACAATATGCCAGAAAGTCCTTCTCCCCATTGATACAGGAGGTGTTTCCAGCAGCAGACGTGCAGTTGGTTCCTGCACCAGTCAGTGCAAACCTGGGCCTGGCTTTGCAGCTCGAGCTCCGCGCACGGCGGCCCCAGGAGGGCAGCAGGGCTGGCACAGCAGCGCGGTGCCCGCAGATGCGGTGCCCGTGGACGCGGTGCCCGCGGACGCGGTGCCCGGTCCCTCACCTGTTCTGCTGTAGCGAGGCCAGGTGTTCTTGGGAGCCGTGAGCCACGTGCTGCGGACGTACTGGCGCTGCCGCTGCCTCGGCCTAAGGAAACAAGCAGGGCAGCTCGCGGGGCTCCGTACCAACGCAACGAGCAGGGCTGAAAACCAGCCAGGAAAGGGCATGGGTCGGGGAAAGCTGCTTCTTCAGCTCAAGTCGGGCCATATGGAGTATTTAGCCAGAGTTTTATCACATCTGCCTTCCAGGCACTGCATACCTTCACTTAAGCCTTCCTTACTGTAACCAGCCGGTGCCTCCAGCACTTCCACTTCAATAGCTTCTTTCCCCCATTTTTACTCCTGCCAAGTTCTCAATTGCTGCTTTGCCTCAAACAGCTTCCCAGGACAAATTAAAGGGCCCTTCCCAGCCAGAAGGGACCTTCAAATGTCAACTGATGTAGCTGAAGCTATACTCACAGGTTCAACCAACGCACTGGTGCAGGGCAAGAGGCAGTCATAAATCAAGACTACTTATTAAGCCACATATTCCCTAGGCAAGGGACTGCTCCTCGTGCACTAGATACTGCCTCTCGCTGCAATCTCTCCTTGAAGGAGCCTAATTCTTCCACAGATCAAAGCAGCAGTGGATTCCTTGGGCCCTTCTAAGCAAGGGCACAAGACCACCAGGAAAGGACTCATGCCCCGCTGCACAGAACAGCAGAGATTTTGTAATAGCGACAAATGACAAATACTGGAGAAAGAAATATCTAACAGTCAATTTTCTACATTTTTGAATTAAAGGACTTTAGAAGGGCATTTAATAATACTGAGAAGAAATCAGTAGAATAGAAAGTAAGTACTAACAGAAGTCTGCAGAAACTTTCTCTCATGAATATCACAACAATATTATCCTATCCCCATTGTCACTATTAAATAAATAAGACGTCCTGAACACATCAATGCCCTGGGTTCCCTGCAGTGCCATGGTACTGGGGAAGGACAAACGCACTGTCTCAGACTTTGAAAAGATTTAGTATTGAATTCTGGACTAACCTCTGATCACCAAGAACAGCCCGAGCCCCAAAGTATCTCTTCAACTCATTCTCCGGATTCAAGTTTCTGAAAAGTTTGAAACAAGAAAGAAAACCCACCATTGGTTAAACACTCACAAAAGCCCTGATGTCTTTTGATGTCAAACTCCATTGCATTTCATCAATGCCAAGTATCCTGTATCTTGGAAGTGCTTTGGAAACCCCTGAACTGTCAAGACCACCACTGAAAGGAGGCTAAAAATCAGTGGTCAGGGGAGGAGGCATTCAAACCCCTGCCCAGCCAGATGTGTGCTTTCCTTGTGCTGAGTTAGAAATACCTCTGCTGCCATCTCCAGGGCACCTGGGGCCTTAGTGTGGGATATGCCCATGGATGGCCTCCTTTAGGGAATGAGAGCTTGGGGAATTTGTGTCTGGAAAACAAGAGATATCTGCTGCCGAGAGCCCAGCAGCAACAACATGAAATGTAGGGCATGGACTTTAACCACTGCAGAAAGGCTGCAAAGGAATACAGTGCATTTTTTAAAAACAGAAACCTTATGTCAAAGTATGAAGTCTACAGCTTCTTGAGCTAACGCTCAGCCAGAAAATGCGAGAAATGTTTGAGAGGGATTTCCCTCTCCAGAAAAAAGAGAGGAAGCAGGAAGGCAGAGATCTAGCACTGCCAATCCTCAGCTGCTCTGAGATTAACCATTTTTCAAGAGTTTATAACTCATGTTTATTCGATCTGAGAAATCCCTGGAGTTAAAAGCATCTTCAGGTAAGCAAACCCTGAAAGGCCCCTGAATAGGCTGGTAGCAGCGAGTGCCCACCAGGCTAGATTCAGTTTTGATGCAGCAGGATTGGAGGTTTCAAAACCTGGACTGACGAGTTGTCCCAGCCTACAAATGTGCTCGCTCTTGCCAAAACAGGAAGAGCTGCTGGTCTCTGTGCCAGTCCAGGGCTCAGCAACGCGCTGGACCCAACAACTGGCCCATGCAAACAGTTTCAGTGCATTATATGCCTAGATGTGACAGATCTCTAGTCTGAAGCCAATTCATTTGCCGCACTTGGCATTTGGTCTGTTTCTGTTGATGGCCACATGTGGAAAAGCTTAGACAAGTCTGACCAGCTTTCCTGGTAAAATAGCCCTGGGTACAGCTTAGCCCTCTTCAGGTGCCAGCACAGGCAGGATTGGGGCCTGCTGCCCACAGGAGCTGGACTGTTGCAGGGAGATACCTGACCAGGTTAGTTTGATTTCAAAGCTTTAGGCACCAACGCTTTCAGGTGCTTTGTAGAGATTCTTCTACAAACAATCACAGAATATTTTATGCTGGAAGGAACTCTGGAGATTGCTCCGGTTCAATTACCCAAACAAACCAGATACAGGAGCAGAAAATACCAGTCAGCACTAAGAATTGAACAGAGCTCTAAAATACAGCAGTTAGAAATGGGACTGCCCCCACAACCATATCACCAGCCCTTCCAGGTAAGGTCCTGAACTCATAGCCAGGTGGTACAGACACTGTCCCATCTCCCTCCTTGCAGAACAGATATCCCTGTCACATCCACGGCCAAAATCAGGAAGCAAGGAAAGCACTACCTGTGCTCCACATAGAGCAGAGGCCTGCTGTCCGCAATGACTCCGCTCTGGGTTTGCTGCGACAGCCCGTTGGTGTCCTCGATCTTCTCCAAAAGGCTGTCGATGTCTTCCAGGTCATTATCTTCCTTAAGATATCCACATGCAAAGACAATGGAATTGTTACGGAATGAGTCATTGCTGCACCCAGGTCACCCAGAAGGGATCACACCCAGCTGTCTCCACATCCTTGTCCTGATCCTAGTCCTCCGTGCAATACTTCTGCTCCTCGCACGGTTGTGATCCTGGATGTGCCAGCTAAACACACCTGGCGTGGGCAAGAGTTGGCAGCTTTTCTGCTGACCCCATGTTCTGCCCAAAGTAGATGCCCACAGTGGGCAGTGGTGATTTCTGACACAACGCAGTGGTGATTTCTGACACAACGCAGAGCTTCAAGTCTGTTTATTCACCCCTCCTTACCCATCGCTCACTATGCTTTATTTAAGCTACAATCTTTAATTTCTAAAATACAATTAAATGTTGGGGTGCTGATTTTAATAATAGCATCCAAATGATCAGTCTTCACTGCCTGCTTCCCCCAGGAGTATTGAGTTATTGCAGTAATCCCTGTGCTTTTAACCCAGCTTTGATGTAATATACAGCCACTTTTCCAGATTGCTGATAACTAGGAGAATATACTCCATCAACACACATTAAACAGTTGTATAATATTTTTACTCATATTTTTCTTTTTTCCCTTCCCCCAAATGGAAAGCAATGCATTTCTTATATAGTCAATTAACTTTCTCCTCATGATGTGCATGAGTGGAATGTAGAATTCCATTCAAAACACAAAAAGAGCATTCTGAGGTTGCCTTTATTAGCTAAATATAGCTATACTATGTGTAGTGGATACATAAAAAATTAATGTGTTCTGCATTTAAGCAATTTAAGTGCATTTAAGAACAAAGTTAGTATTATTTCTGGTTACTAAACTGCCTGTCTCTGGGGATTAAGCCTGCCTAGGGCTCAGAGCTGGCAGATGTCATCTGCTGCTCAGGATCTTTGGGCTGGGAGAAGCAGCAGGCTCTCCTCCATGGCCTCTCTCATGGGTTCCTCAGCTGCAGCAACCAGCTCCTGAACTTCCCTGGTGAATTCCCCGGCAGCAGGCGGCCAGCCTGGCCAACCACCACACACGACAGCCAGTCTGGTGGTCCAGCACATCGTGACTCAAGAGGTTTTGCAAGGGATCTCCCCCAGGTGAACAGCTAAGACTTTTGAACCTTAGCAGAAGGTATTTCACCACTTTAGTAATTTTATTTCTATTGAATTTAAATGATTAATGACTGCAACACATTTAGTTGCCTGGACTATGTGAAGTATGTAAAATATACTTCAATATAAAAATGTCACTATATTTTAAACCATAACAAGCATAGACATTTGGTGAAGCTTTTAACCCTCTTCAAGTACACTTCATTAGGGGTAGACAACTTAGCCACAGCGGATCCATCCCCCTTGTTCCTGTCCTTTCAGAGATGGAGGGGACAAGTCGCATGGGGAGAGCGCTTGGTACCACGTTTGCTCTAAGGCAGGTGACACTGGCAGATGCTCCTGTCAGCATCTGGTTATTAGGTGTCAAAGCACAGGGAGAAAGGTGCACTGGTGCTCACGAGGAGCAGGCAAAGCTAACGTGACTCGTTGTTCATCGACAGCGAGAGCTGTGTGTGATCCTGCAGAGCTAGGAGAGCGACTTATGTAGGGCAGGCAAAGTAAACTGAAAATGCAAAACCCTCCCAAAGAGCTTCCTCCTGCTAGAGCCTCAAAGCAGAGATGAAAGAAGATGCTGCTGTGAGGATTCCAGCTCTAACCATCTGTGGCAGAGCTGAGCGAGTCCCACTTGCTTGAAGGACTATAACCAAAGGCTGTTGTTGTCATTTCATAATTTTAAAGGAACACTATGTAAAAGCGATCACTTTTGCCTCAAGATATTTTCTATTATCAGATGAGTATTGATATTTCGTCAGCCCCAATGCAGAAATTAGCAGGGCTGCTAAATCTCAGGACAAATGCAGACATACCAGAGAGTCGCCTGCTGAAGCTTTCTTGGTTTTCCTTTTCTTTTTTTTCTTTCGTGGCTTGTTACTTGACATAGGCTGCAAAGATAAAGGAAACAACTGCATGAGATGGAGCACATCCATGCGATGCAGTGAGGAATGCTGCAAAGGGCAGAAGCATGTGTCCAACCTAAGCCCATATTCATCCTTTCAAGTTTGCCAGCAAGCAGAAATCAAGACACAAGGAAAGAAACAGAGGAAAGCACCAAAGATTCACAAATATAAGGGTTAAGAGAATCTCGTATCTAAGACCACAGAATCAGAGAAGAAACGGTTAAATATGATATATCTAAAATGTCTCTTCCTTCTACTCCTAAGCACTGATTCTGTCTTTCCAGTGAGCAAGACGGTTTCAGTGTCTCTGACTGCCACAGAAACTTACAGCTGCATGAAAGCACCATGCAGCACCAGCTCCCCTTGCTGCAGGTGCGACCGCTTCGGCTCGCAACAGGATGCGCCATTCTCCAACCTGACACTCTGTGATCTGCATGAGCCCTTCTCCAAGGCATACAGAGCTAAAAAAGCACATTTCTAGGACTGTCAACTCTCCAGAGACAACATATCCAAGAAGTAATAGCATTACAATAATGGCTCTAAAGCTCCTGAGCTGTCTTCAGAAGCAAGGGAACATGTAGCCCCAATTCAGCTCTACCACATGGCAGGGAGGCACATGCTGAGGGCTCCAGCATGACCCTGGCATGGTCACTGCTGCATAAACACATCTACTTAGGAAATCCTACATGGAAAGGCAGGTGTGCTCTTAAATTCTCTTTTGCAGTGAAGTGACTAGACCGGGACATACTACGTGAAGGGCTCTTAGCAGAAAATCACGACAAAACACTGAAAGAAAAGAGTCTGGTGTTTAATTTACATTGTTTGGGTCCTTCAAGTCATTTTCTCCAAAACAAACGCTTCTCTGAACACTGACCCAGAGCCCAGCCCTGAACACTGACCCAGAGCCCAGCCCTGGCCATGGCGCAGGGGGACATGAGTTGTGCAAGCTCCGTTCCAGAGTCCCCGGGCCGCTTTCCTTGGCACACACTTTGCATAACCTCAGTGCTCACGAGGACACACAGGCAGCAAAAGCAGCACAAGGTCTTGCTCAGGGAGACGTCCCAGGAATTCTGCAGCTCTAAAGGTCCTGCCTGTGGATCCTAGCCAGAAAACCCTGCACGTTTCCTAATGCAACCCCCAGCCCCACAGTGTGGATTCTGCCCCAGCCTAGAGCCCGCAGCGACAGCCTGGTCGGGTTACCCAGCGATTTGGGAATAAGGACAAAGGGAACATGAAGTCAGTCCGTCATCTTTCACCTGTTCTCCGAGGCAAAACTCCAATTAGTGAACAGGCTCATTACCTCAGCAAGGTAGGAGCTTTGCTACAAACAGGGAACACGGGCAGCTGCACTCCTGAACAAACGCTAATGGGCAGCTACTTATGATTTATTGATAAGGTCCCTGCACGTGTCCCTGCCGTTGACACTGATGTTCTTAGCTCGTGACAAAACCCACACAGAGGGAACAGGAACACTTCTGTGTCACTAACACAAAGCTGCTCAGCTCAAACTCAGGTAGGAAAATAAACGTGCCAGCTCCATTTCCACACCTTGTGTGGCATGGAAACTAGATGTGACTCAAGTTACCGTTTGGTCCTGCTGATCTGCATCTTCTCCACTCCTCTGTCTGTCACCTTCTGTCTCTTCAGCTGCAGGCACTGCACCCTTCCCTTCTGCTACCCCCTGCTCTCTCAGCCTGGCATCCAAGCGCTCCTCTCTGAAGGAAGGGTCCTCCTCGGGTTCTTCATTGGTAATCTACACAAACAGACGAGAAGATGCAGAAACAGCAGGCAACGGCCAGCGCCTGCTCCCTCGGGTTTCCCGGAAGACAGGACTTAGAGATCCCTTCTGCTCACAGCTGGAAGTGAAAAATCCACAGAGGTGACAGAGGCAGAGCGGGGCTTCCCCAGGTCCTGCTCCAGCAGCCGCAGCACTGGGTCTCCCCCAGGCCCTCCAGTCACTGTCCCCACGACCCCCTTCCTCCCGAGGTCCCTAATTGCCACCCCCCATCACAGACCTCTCTGCGATGCCCTGGTCCCTGTCCCCAGTCCCTCCCCAACACCCCCCGTG